AAAATGATATTGAATGAAAAGGGTAATTAGAGAGAAGAGTCTTCCCTAAGCACTGTGAAAACAAGTGAAAGCTTGATTTTACAATACCCATGTCATGAGTCCCTTAAACAGAAGGGAAACATAATTCCTCTTTRTCATTGATATAAAGCAAAGCAAATTTATAACATTGATTCGTAAGGCGACTTATCTAGATGTGGTTTTTTTTTCCAACTTAAAAGATAAACCTAAAGAAAAGCAAAGCTGGGTCGGGCATACTAATACAAATCTAGTTTGGACAAGCATGTAGACAAGCTAATCTAAGCTCTTTCTCCTACTTTCATGACAATCCAGCTCTGGGGATTTTTTCATGCCATGACAACCTCTCCTACACACAGGAAACTAACAAAAAGTACCGGCAATAACAGCATAGCCAGCATGTCTCCTGGGCCCCATTGCCTTCCTCCTCACTGAGCTGAGAAGCAGMTTTTCTCTGCAAAAGCTACAGGGGTCTAAAGAGAATGCCTCTCCCATTTCTGTTGAATCTGATTTTAGCTTTTATTTTATGCATTTCTGTTTCCATACAGTTGCCTTTGAAGTAAGTTTTGCCATGTTTCAAATCACAGATAATTTGCATTTTCTGTAAGGCCCTACAGGAGACAAATGTCAATTCATACTTTTCATGTGCACTGCTATAGAGTACTAAAGACTATTTTGTAAATTAGGAAGCCTGATGGTGTTACATGCAGAGTTCTCCAGTCCCACCCTCACGAGCCATAGCAGATGGAACATGGTCAAATAATAAAGGACATATGGTCAAGGTCATTTTAGTTGTAGGAGCAGATTTACCTTCATATGTATCAAGAAAGTCCTACGAAATAGCAAGGTCTAGGTCTCAGTATTTCATTTTGTCGAGTTCTTCATAAGCATTTATGTATTAAACTCTCTCCATCTACATGTGAGGATTGGAGATATAGTGCTCTGGCTCTCTATATTCCTAAATTAAATGTATGGAAGAATATTTCTAAATCCTGAGGGGCTTTGAAAAGAACAGTCCATGGCTGTGCTGCTGAACTGCTTTACACGCTCAARGAAAGTGTCAGTGTGAATGCTGTCTCCTGGGAACAGTCCCAGGAGCTTGCTAACTCCTGAGCCACATCCATATAGTCCTTGAGAAAGTGCTAACCAGCTCATGCTTGTTTAGTCCAGTTTACTTATTTACTTACACCATGTCCTGGCAATGTTTYATATACCAGGGAGACGTTGCCTATCTGTCCTTCTGCTCTGTCTAAAAGCAATCCTATTTCTTTCCCACTTCTTGTACTTTTTGTTCCTTTGATTATGTCAGGCTAGCTTTACTGTGAAGTGTGTAAGTATGTATGGGGTACKTGTATGTGCATGTGCAGTTACATGGGATACTTTAAGAGTGTCCGAGTGTCCTTAAMACAAATAATACTTTTCAATAACCAAAATAAATTTAATAGACTCAAAAGCTTACCGCATAGTAAATGTCCATCTCTAGTAAGCGGCAAACCTCCAGAAGTTCAGATTGAGGTTTTTTTATTTTTTTGAAAATTATCCAAAAATATAGATGTTCATCTACATTTTATGCAAAATATTTGAACCTATTAAAACTGCATGAGCAGCCTGGAAGTTTTATAAGATTATAACTTTTCCTAACATTTCCAACTTTAGTAACTGACTCCAGAACTGCCTGAAAGTAGACTGCAAACAAAAGAAATAATAATAAAAAATCTATATTGTTTAAAACATACAAACAAAACTAACAAAAATGTCCATTGCAATGCTTTTGTCTAAGGTGAGTTGTTTTTCAGAATTGARAGGAAAGCTCGGGGTTTAGTCATTTTCAGTTTTGTTCATTCTTTCTATACTTTAAAAGGACAGAACTATGAAAAAAACACACCAAGCTATTTCAATCTCTGCTACAGCCATCTGGAACTAGATGAACTTGAGAAAGAGAAAAGAAAAAGGAATAAAGATCATCAACGTATTCTATTGTTTCACTTTGAAATCCAGACCCTGAAATTTTTTTTTCTGTTGCAGTGATAAAGAATTACCTCAGAAAACCACTTTTGCTATGAATGAAACCAGAATTAAGAAGTATAAAAGGGAAAGGAAACAACTGTAAAGCAAKCCATCTCTTTGTAATTTAGCTTTAATTAATCAAAATAAATAGACCAGACAAATAATGAGAATAAGTAAGGAGGCTAAAGGATTTGGAACAGTCCAAGTTTGGCATTTGCAAGGACACATCTAGAGTTATCTGGAGAAGGCCGACATCAGTCTGACAGTGGTTCAAACTTACTTTTGGATGTAAAAAAGAAATCTCTGTTTTGAATGTATAAACAAGATATGATGAACTCTAAACATTCCTGAAGATTCAGGAATGGATCATAAGTTGCCAAGATATTTGGATTTATAATGGATACAATGAACTGAGCAAAAAGCCATAATGTTTTCAATTAAATAAAGTGGTTCCAGGAAGTATCTCACTTTCAAACCAGTTGGGTGTAGGAGGGTGGGACAAGAGGGAATTTTTCAAGAGAAGAAGAAAGGAGGAGATGGATTTAGACTTAAGACTGCTCTATTTGATTGATGGTGATCCTGGATTTCAGACAGAAATTCAAAGCTGTGAATCTTATATTTGGGAGAGAGAGATCACAGATGACCTCCTCTTTTTTTTTTTTTTCCTTGTTCATAATTTGCATATCTACATATACACATTCATTTAATTTCTTCCTGCATTAACAATCTTAGTTTGATCCAAAATTTCACATTTTAATGAATTATTGGTTGGTTGTTTTAGGAGGAGTGACTAAAAATTTACAAAAGGATTTATTTCATCCCAACTTGGAAGGAAAACAAATTCTTAAATCTTGAATGTTGACCTGAAATGGAATTGTTTTTTTTTTTTTTCTTAGTCTTACTAAAACAACCTTCTGCTCTTTGCAGAATGCAAACATGCAGTAATAAATGTAATCACTCAAGGGCAACTGCTTAAAAAAAATCTTGATTTGAGGATTTCCTCAGCTGCTTCTGGAGATTTGATGGGCTATCAAAGCCCATCAAATGAATGTAATGACCTTGAAATGGCAGTTAAGCAGTGGGCCATCCTTTTCTTCCTTCAAATTTGTTTTCACAGTTTGAAATATTTCAGATGATTGCAGCTATCAGTAGGAATAAAGACATAGTACCCTTCAAAATTTATGACTACTTTGATTAAATAATAAATACTATGAAAAAGCAAAATGAAAATAGCATTGATCTCTTGCTGATATTGACTGTGTATATTACAGATAGTTATGTGTCTATTCACAACCAAATGAAAAATATTTAAACATTAAAGTGATGTTTGCATTCATTTAAATGAAAGATTAGAAGCACCCAGCTAATGAATGAGTGATATCTGTTTTCTATTAGCAATATTTAAGATGCTGAAGGTGTCTAATTCCAAGTCTACAATTGTAGTGACATGGTAGACATTAATAAATAAAGGAGCATTTCTCCAAATTGTAATTGCCGACTGCCTAAAGCAAAATTTGCCAGCATTGACGGACACTCTTTGGGTAAGACAATTCACCAARTCTTTATGAAAAAGATCCTGGTAGGTGAAACTGTAAAACTCATTCCTTAAAAAGTGTAAAACACTCTAAATGTACACACTGAAGAAATACGAAGTGTACAATAATTCTCTTTGTTATTCATGATTGTAACAAAAACTTTGGCTCAGGTAACTTCATTATGTTATCCTTTTGCATAAGTAAATAGATCCATCAGGTAATACAATGGCTTATTATGAAAGACCTGAAGAATGAGCATAGTGTTTCAGTTAGGAAGAAGATGAGACAGAACGTCTCTTTGAAGTAGKCTTGATGCTTCAGAGGCTTGCTGGAGCTAATGAAGAGAGATGATGTGGAAAATTGCCTCCTAGAGGCTGAGTCTGTGTGCTCCCTGGATTTTTTTTTTTATATCTCTATTTTTTGAACAGAAAGCAAAAAGAAATCTTTATGATCCAGTGATCATAATCACTAGATCTATTTTAATGATCTATAACTAAAAACTATTTTTACCTTTTAAAAACATAATTGTACAGGGAATCACCTACACTTCAGAAGGGAATTATGTCACATTTTGTTTAGCATTCTGTGTTACTGGTCTACTTTAAAAACCAGAAGACTAAGCTGTGAATGCTCTATAAGAATTGGAGCTGATGTGCTGCATGTGTTGCACTGTTTCTTTATACAGACTGCAGAAGTACAAGGGTAGATGATGTACCTACGGATGGCCTGTGAGGGTTCTATGCTTTYCAAACCATTTCATTGAAATTTAGAATTATATTACTTGAGGATTTACAAGCTTTCAGAAGTACAGAAGTTACTACAATTTATAGTCCCTGATTTATATTAGGGTGGATTACATTTTAAAATAAATCCAAACAACAATACCATTTGGATCTCTTTCTGCTAGCTAAATGATTACAGTTAGGAACCACAAAACTGATTTTGACCACTTGTAACTCAAAACACCAAACCACAGTAGACAAAAAACACCAAATGAAACAATTCAATTTTTATTTCTGAGATACCTGCAAGCCTAAGCCTGCAAGCGACTGGTCATTCCCAGTTCCCATTTCATTTACTGGGAGATTTGGCTACAAGATAACTTAGAGAATCAYACCTAACACAGACAAGGTATCCAAGACTGTTTTTCCAGCTTACTGCATGTAGCTTCTGCCCTACACAGATTTATRCTTATCTCAGCAGTGAATCTACCATGTGTGAAATCTGTTTATAACCCAGAAGATATACCATGATAGTCCAAGTGAATTCAAGGAATTTTGCTGACATCACACTCATCAGGCTATTAAGCTTTCTAGAGCAATTCATATAAAACTAGCACACATGTTTCTGCTGTGTTTTTGTCCCATGCACACACTATCCAGTCTGTAGATGAGACTTTGCACAGGACATAATGCACAATTAAGAGTTCTTTGACTTGCTCACCTTTGCAGTTGCCTCGGTACGCAACCTCCAGTTGAGGGTCCTTGCATTTTGCTCGCTGGAATTCACACCGGGACAGAAAAGTTCTTCCATCAGATGCACAGAGAGACTTCTGGGGGGACCCTGCACAGTCCAGGCTGCATTCTCTGTCTTTGTCTTGGTCCACTCTCAAAAACTAGAAAAAAAACCCATAAAATGAGGCTGTAAGAATTTTCTTTTAAAGTAAAAATCATTGCCTRATCACCATACCAGTGGCACTTGCACACGTATAATTATTCAAAACCGAAGGAAAAGATCTTTTTACCCTGTTCAAATACTAGTCAATTCAGCATACCTCAAGTTGTTCAGTTGCTGTTATAACATGGCAGTAAATATAACATTTCTACAGGAGGTAATCAATCTATATAAAGCATGTAATAAACCTAGTAAATAGGAAACCTGTGAAATCTTCCAGCCATTATAAAGATGAAAACAGTGGCTCTGAGTCTTCAGAGCAAAAATAGCAATAGCACATTCTCTACAATAAAAAATGAGAGAGCAATGGAAACTTGTGTATTTTATTAGCCTATATATTATTTAATATTAGGTGGCAAGCTGAAAGCTTAAGATCCAAATAGGATTTCTAAACCAATAATCATCTAAAATTAATACCATAATACTTCCAATGATTTTGAGATGCCAAGGTGCCTGCAGAGGGGATGAGCAGGGCAGAAGCACTGATATCAGCAGTGCAGATGTAAAAGCACTATGTGAAACAGGAATCAGATCTTTTATTCTTACATATATTCAAAACATAAGCACTCAATGATGCAACAGAAAATCTGGATATGTTACAGAGGCACTCTGCTTATGCTTGCCTATTGAAAAAAAAAAAAAAAAACCCAAAAAAAGAAAAAAAAAACATAAGAACATGCCAGGATGGAAGAGGGAATTGTTTGGGAATTGCAGTTTCTCCACCTGCCCCAGGTCCTCTCCCAGAGAACCCCACCATGGGGCACTGCAATGGGGAAAATCACATTGCAGATCACAGGCAGAACTGTCATATCCCAAAGGATTTTCTTAATTTATCAACAGTCAACACACAAACTTATGATTGCTTCTTGAAGTAATAAGGAAAAAAGGAGCACCATTAAATACTCTTACAGATAAAGACAGAGATCTATCTTCCCCTTCCCCAGCCACAGCTTTTGGTGTTTTTCCTGCAGGTTACAGTATTTTCCCCAAAAACGGTCATGGGAGTCAAGCCTGGGCTGCAGTCCATCAGGAATGTTTCTGCCCTGGTATGGGTGACCACAGTCCCTCCAAGTGATCGCCACGATTCCTTGGAGATGTCCCTGCCCCACCAAGGGTCACCTATGGCCAAGTCCCTCAGAGATGTCCCTGTCCTAGAGCCCTGGTCCCTCATGGCTGTCACTATCCCAGCCTTGGTCACCCACAACAAATGGTTCCTTGGGTGTGTCCCTGCCTCATCATAGCTCACTCATGGCTCATAAACCTTCATGAGTTTATGGAGCCCCCTTGCTCCGTAAGTATGGAGGAGTATGCTTCCAGTCCCAAGCTGCAGCCAGGGCTGAGTCTAAGTATGGATGCTCTGTGTTTACCTCCAATAGAGCAAAGTTTTAGTGATAGATTTTTTAATTTTCCTTTTTGTGCATTTTAGGCTGGTTACAGCCAGCTGGAACCAGTTGTGATCAGTACAGGGCAATTTGTGGCCTCCTTGCACAAGGGTCACCTCCTCAGGTCCCCTGCTCCAGCAACTCAACTCCATCTCCTCCCAGAGAGGTTCAGCAGGCTACAGTATAAGAGAAGTCATACAGTTTCTTTCCTAAATTAGGGCCTATGGGGGAAACCCCTCTTTCCTAGTCTGTCCCAGCCTCACTGGACAGGGTCTGTCTGACCGTCCCTATGCACCAAAATAGTCAGTCCTTGAAAAAAAAAAAAAAAAAAAGCCTAGACTTGAGTCCTCAGATGAATATTTCTATTATTTGTCTGCTTCTGAATAAGTGCAATGTTTTGCAAAGTATATATACACAATATATGCCCTGGAGACTGTTCCCTTAGAGCCCTGGCACAGGCTGCCCAAGGACGTTGTGGAATCTCCTTCTCTGGAGGTCTTCAAACCCGCCTGGATGCCACCCTGTGCCACATGCTCTGGGTGTCCCTGTTGGAGTAGCAGAGTTGGACTAGATGATCTCTAGATCTTCTAACCCTAACTATTCTGTGATTCTGTGATTCTATATACATATACATATATATATACACTTTGGATGGTATATATATTGTGTGTATATATATATGTACAAGGAGATAATCATTCTTCCAGGTATTGTGAGGCAGAAAGAAATCTTCCTGGGAAAGGTCTTAATCTCGTGAAATATTAGTTTATTATATCAGTGTTGCTTCACTGTCATAAATTCTCATCACAGAAAATCTTATGCTCCAGATTACAAACTGAGGCTACCGAAAAGAAAATCACAAGCAATAAAAGAGGACAAAGAGTAATACTTGAGCAGGAGTATGCCTGTATATGGAGAGGAACCCTCAGAGGTGACTCTTTAAAATAACAGACATATGTTTGGAATTTGACAAGGATTTTTAAAATTTTTCTGTCACAGTAATATAAAAAGGAAAGTTTTCTTCTCCTCATGTTTTGTGCAGTTTTTCATTTACAACAATAAGTAGCTTTGGAAGCAAACTGGCAGCTCACAGGCACACAAATCCCGAACATTTAATCTGGGGTCTCACTCTAAGGCTTCAGAGGAGCAAAGAGTAGTTCTTTTCTTCACCTTCTGTTTTCCCCATCCCAGCTATTTTGCACATCTTTTTCACTAAGAGTTATTAATAACTAGATGAGCAGACTAAAAAGGGTGAAAACTTAAGTCATCTTTCTTTCCATGCAGCATGCATAAATGTGAAGATAGCCTCCCACATCTCTGACCAAGCTACAAGTTACATCAGTCTCAAGGATCTGTGCCAAGGCCTTGGTGTCCCACCAGCTGTCTTGGTGTCTTGGTGAGGTCCTCCAAGCTTCCCTTCCTCCTCATGTAGATCAGGCAATGCTGCATTAGCAGGACTGAAGGTTTAGTCCCAGCCAGGGCTAACCCATTCACTGACCAGCTCTGTCAGAAGAGGATGAAATGTCAAGGAAAAATGACCTAGGTGGGACTCCTGATAGCAGAATTGTATGCAGTTCCACATGCTGCCTGCCTAATACATCCTGTGTGAATTTAATGATGGCAAATCAAATAATCTTCCTCTTACTATTTTGAGAGGTAATGATGAGCACACTGCCTTTCTCCAAGACCACCTCTTCCATCTCTGAAATGGCTAGGCACTTTGCCATCTTTAATTTATATTCAGTAACATCCCTGCCAGGCAGATTTTTTTTTTTCAAAAGAATATGAAGGCTTCATAATCCACAAAAACTGGTATTTGAATGCCACAGTAGATCAGGGAACTAAATCCAAACCTCAGGAGAAAAACACTCCCAGCAACATTTTATCCTTCATCCTTTTTTTTCTCCCACACTTTTTTTATTTCTTCTGTTTTGAGTCTTTGCAGGAATTAGAAGAGCATGCGTGCTTGATCACAGTGAACAAACCACAGTAAAACAATGGACAGAAAATCCTCTCAGATCTCTGAGAAACAAAGTCCACTGTCTTGAAACAGTGACTTCACAGATAAAGCTACATTTTTCAAGGGTATTTATCCAAAGTTTTATTTAAGCATTTTATTTTTTTCAAAGCTGTACAAGGGATGAGGGTAAATTATGGGTTCAAGGATTTTCACATAACCTGGAAAAGCAGAGCATGAAGAGATTCCCAGGAGACAAAGCCACTTGAAGAGATTGTTGGTTAGCCAAACCTCAGTGGAGAATTTGGGTTGTACAATTTATACAGTTTCCACCAGGCTATTTTAACTAAAGGAACTAATGGCAAGAAATAGAAAGGGGCAAGTAACAACCAGAAAAGATAGTATGTAAGAGAGAGATTAGTAAATGCACTTATTAAAAATAAAAGAAGTGATTAACCTTTGTAAAATAATCCTTTGTCATATTTATTGAAGAAATCTAAGAGATAGTAATACATAAACTGTGATCTGATGCACAAGAGCTGTCCTTTACTGCAAAAATATTATTTTCTATATAATAGGACTGTTACAAGAGAAAGATGGTTATAAACCATAATCAGTGGACCAGAACATGACTCATCCTGAATACTGGCCCATCTTCTTTTAGCTTTAAATTCATTTTAAAATGAACCTTTTACTGCAAAAACATGATGCACTGGAAGACAAATTTAAAGCTTTTTTTTTTTCTCTTTTATTACTTGCTGTTAGCACTGAGATGAAGAAAGCAAGAGTTGGCCAGCCTGAGGAGGAGCTATTTTGGACATCCAACAAAAACTGGGCAACTACTGCTAATCCTTGTTAACAAGCAAACCACTTTTAATATAGAAATGTTCCTGCCTCTAATAGCACAGAAACCAGCCTAGTCTAGTTTCAAATATTTTCAAAGTGATTTTCATCTACAAATTTGGGTTTATGCTACAGATTAACAAGCATAACTGCTTAACCAAAGTTGGCTTTTTATTTATCTTCTGCTTTCTGTTTTAATATCTGAACATACTTTATTGACTCCAATGTACTTAAGCTTCTCCAATTTATTACATCTTACAACACCGAATTTCTGAGTGGCCTGCTATTCTATCCTAGACAGCACTTTAAATTATCATGCCGTATTTCTAGGGAAAAAAAAAAGAGAATATAATGGGACTATATCAAAAGACTTCTTGACTATTTAACTGTACTTCAGTTAATAAAATCAAAAGTCATTACAAATTATTTACCGTTATGTTTCAGGCTCCATAGAATCGCATCATGTCTCTTCTTTGCCTTACACGCCAYAGGTTCTTCATATTGAGTCTCTCCTCTAGCACTAACAGCCCAGTTGTCTTTCCTTCTTCTCTTATGAAGTTTTATAAATATAGAATTTTCATTTTCTGAAATAGCAAATACCTGAGGCCTTATATATATTGAAGAAAATTATTTCTACTGCTACAGTATCTGCTGTCTATCTTTCAGCGCTGTTCTTGTCACTGGTCCCATTGGTCTTTGGAAGGTCAGGATACTTATTTCCTCAACCACAAACAGCATGTTCCAATCCATTAGACAGTT